GTGATCGGTGCTTTTGAATGGTTGTTTCAAGCTTGTTCGCATTTGTGTTGCTCACGTGGCCCCACAAAGTGAGGTGATTCGATGAAATATCTATGTCCAAGGTTACCACCAAGTGCTGCCGGGATGTTGCTGAAATAGCCTCGTCTCCCAATGTCTTTTGAAGTCACGGTGGTCGAGTGGTTAAAGAACCAGGTACGCCATGGTGCGTAGTGTTCCTGGCTGTCTGGGTCGAATCCTGCTAGGGTGTGGAGTTTTCAGTTGCATATTGTATATATATATATATATATATATATATATATATATATATATATATATATATATATATATATATATATATATATATATAAACAGTTACCTAATCTACGTTATGTAGACATAAATGTGACGTGGGTTACGTGTATGTAGGTATTAGCATTACTTGGGCTACTGTGATGGAGATATGTTGAATTATCACTATGAGCAACAGCGGAAGCAGATGAGGATAACTTCGTTTTGAGGGCACCACACAAACCGTCCTCCTCATAGAGCTTTACATTTTGGCGTATATTATACCTAAGATCGTCGTACTAGAAAAGGGTAGAGGCTCGCGAAATTGACATACTGTCCCGTTTTCTGTTTTGGGTCCTCTGGTAGGTTAGTATAGGGGCACTTTAGTACGACAGTTTCTTGACGGTATGAAATCTTAGGAGGACGGGCTTTGCAGTGAACGCAGGCCGACAGAGTAGTGGAGAACACTCAACAAGTGCTTCCTGCACACACCTTGCCGTCTCTTCCGGTCTTCCCTTCCCTCGTCGTGTGTGATAGTGGTTCTCCTTCGTCATCTCTCCTTCTTTCCCCCGTGTGCACACTTCCGCCACATTCACCTCGCTCTTTCCCACCACAAATGGAAGGGAAAACTCTTCTGGAGTTACAAGGAAAGAACTTTGTGTGTAGACATCACACAAAACTACCTCTCTTAAGAGTATATACCCTCAAAACCACGTGAGTGTATTAAAACCACGGGAGTGTATTAAAACCACGTGAGTGTATTAAAACCACGGGAGTGTATTAAAACCACGGGAGTGTATTAAAACCACGGGAGTGTATTAAAACCACGGGAGTGTATTAAAACCACGGGAGTGTATTAAAACCACGGGAGTGTATTAAAACCACGGGAGTGTATTAAAACCACGGGAGTGTATTAAGTAATTGCAAAACTGTATGTACCTCATATCACCAATATCTCCTGAAGCACATGCCAACCGAATATCAACAGCTGCTGGTTGGCCAACATGGTAACTGCCCTCAGAAATTCGAATAAGCTGCTTATTAAAATACAATGAAATAAAATAATCTGTTTGCGACATACGTCAGACAAGTTTCGGAATATGCGACGCCAGCGTAGATTTCATAGTTCAGAATTAAATGACATTTTGAAGGCAGACCTTCATATGTTACTATTGCTAGGCTTAGGGTCGACCATTGCAAGACTGCATCACTTGCTGATGTAGATCTGACTAAATATAAATGTTATCACCAAATCTTATCACATGACCTACTTCACTATATAGCTGAATGTGAAAAAATCCAAGAATTTAGTCAAGTCAGTTATTAATGTTCAACAAATACACATTTTTTATCCGGGATGACACTCCCTAAAATACTAGCCTAATATCCCAAGTCTGCCTTTCGTAGAGAGTTTACACACACTGAGCGCGAGGTACTTGTACGTTTCATACTTGATCTAATATTAACTACACAACTCTAATTAGACTACATCATATGTAACTGTATCATAAAGTTGAGGGAAGTAAATTGTATTCGTGTCTCACAATAAAGGCAAATTACTTAAATTGCAGAACATTGTAGTCCATATCCTGAACTCGTTATGTGACTGTAACCTTTCCGTTCACTAACAAGATAGGTATGGGGGGGGGGTCATAATAAACTAATTAAATAAAAAGCGCCAAACCTACAAGCACTCATTTAGTACTCTCATTACCACCAATCAAGAGGGCCTCTCTCATTCACGGAACTATGACTTTATTATTGATTCAGGTATCTAATAAGTACTCCATAACACCAAAATAACTTTAAATTATATCATATTCCATGTTAACCACTGCTAATGTTCAAATTACTTTCTTTTGTGATCTGTATCAAAGCAGATTCAATTAGGTTTCTGTTATAGGTGCTTTTACAATTCGTTCTTGAAGAAGTCATCTCCCAATCAATTTGGTGAGCATCTTCTGACAAATGAACGAACAAAGCATTAGACATTTGGCAATGTCTTGCAGAGTATTTATGTTGCGAAATTCTACATTTCAAATCTTTAGATGTTTGCCAAACATAGAACTTATTACAGTCTTATTACATCTAAAGATTAAACTAATCCTAAACCTACATCTAAACTTATTACATCTAAAGATTTGAAATGTAGAATTTGGACTGTTTGCAGTCATTTGGAAAAGTCGGTCGAGGGTGAGAGTTGACAAGAGTGTCCCACTGACCGGCTCCTTCCGCGAATTTGGGATCATGAATCCCAATGGAGCCTCTTAGCTATTCGGGTAGTATTTCCTTAACTAATTCATCTGTAGCACTGGTCGAGGATAAGAATGCCGGCAATGCTAACTGTGTCGCCTTGCGAATACCTATACCCCCCAAGTCTAACTGGGAGCGTTGCTTGGTCCCACTGGTCATCTTGCAGGGAGAGGTTTAACACTTTCACGGTTATTGACCTTAGGAGTGAGTCATATTCTGTTAACTTTGGGCTGTCGAAGGAGGGAGCACACCTTAGGAAATAGGTCAGTCTGGGCAAAGCCAGGCACCTTGTGAGAAGGTACAAAGCATCGTGGGCGTCCAAAGCCCCTATTCTTCCCTCCATCCTCCTCAGGTCGTTCAGCTTTTCTTCGAGGACTACCTCAATGGCGTTCGAGCCCAGAGGTGCCCCTAGCAGCACACTGTCGGTGGGAGCGATCACTTTAGCTCCTGGCAATATGATTCGCACTGCATCTATGGTTGGTTGGCTAGATGAGATGATTTCACACTTTGATGGGTTTAGGGTGAGTCCTAACTCCTCTCCCTTAGATTTCACCAGCTGTAGATCTTCTAGCAGGGACTCCTGTGTCCCTGCCAGGGTGCCATCGTCCAGGAACCAGATGTTGAGTTCGCTGGTCAACCTGCTTGTGACCTCTTTAACAGCCATGCAAAAAAGGAAAGGGGCAAGTGGGTCTTCTTGCTGGACACCTTCTGCAGAAACAACTTCATGTTCCCCAAACAACAGCGTCGTTTCCCTACTGTACCCTGCTGAGACGAAGGGGAGAAGGGAAGGAAAGCTTGTTCGAACTGCTTCCAGTACCACATCCCTTTTTACCTGGTTGAAGGCATTTTTAAAGTCTAATTTAATTAATGCCTTATTTTCTGGGAGGTGCTTGATATAGGCTCGTGCTGCATGAGCTGCTGCTTCACAGCCATGGGGGACACCAAAACCTAGTTGATGGGGCCGAAGCATCGTCGCAGCGTCTATGCTAATTTTCCTGACAGCTGCCCTAGCAACAAGGCGCCGAAGTGTGTTACCCACGGCAATGGGTCTGACTCCACCATCCTTCTTCTTAAGGGCACAAAGGGATGCTCCGAAGAAAAAGGGTTTAATTGTATCTGGGATCAACCCAGAGAGGCAGTCGTTGACAAACTTCGTGACCTCTGACAATAGTGTCTCGGCAACTTCACCGAGAACTGGGTTTACCATCTCCTTGAGGTGCTGACGTCTTACTCCCCCTGCTGAGCCTGGCGGAAATGACATGATGGCTTTGTATACCTCTTTGTATGACGCTTGGAGGAATAGAGGTCCCATGTCTGGGACATTTGTGTCCCGAGCAGTGGGTTCCCACGGTACTCTGGGAGGGTGCTTCTCTCTCAGTGAGTCTGCAGTAGCGGGATTTCTAGGGGCGATTGTGTCTTCGCTGGTAAGTAACCTAATTGCTCCTACTGTGTTGCCCTCTTCAATTTTTTATAGTTGTTATAGTTGTGTGTGTGTACACTAAAGTCTTTGAAAATGTAATAAGTTATTACGAAACGCATTCAAGTGTCGCGTCAGACTAAAAATAACAATGAATTTTGGAGAATTGATTTTCAATTACCATCGACAGTAAAAAGAAACATAAGAAATATTGAGAAAATTCGTGTTAGAATATACATATATATATTCTCTCTCTCTCTCTCTCTCTCTCTCTCTCTCTCTCTCTCTCTCTCTCTCTCTCTCTCTCTCTCTCTCTCTCTCTCTCTCTCTCTCTCTCTCTCTCTCTCTCTCTCTCTCTCTCTCTCTCTCTCTCTCTCTCTCTCTCTCTCTCTCTCTCTCTCTCTCTCTCTCTCTCTCTCTCTCTATATATATATATATATATATATATATATATATATATATATATATATATATATATATATATATATATATATATATATATATATAATATAACCGAAAACTCACACCCCATAAGTGACTCGAACCCATACTGCCAGAAGCACCAGCAACTGGTGTACAGTGGTTAAGGGGTCCTGTACACCAGTTGCTGGTGCTTCTGGCAGTATGGGTTCGAGTCACTTATGGGGTGTGAGTTTTTATATATATATATATATATATATATATATATATATATATATATATATATATATATATATATATATAAGATATAGTAAACTCTCAAAAATTACGGATTGCCGTCAATTTGATGATGTTATCGTAATTATACGCAACAGGATCAGGAGTGCCACTATTGACATTATTCATCTTCAGGTTCTTTATGATTAAATAAAACCAAGCCCAACATTTCATCACTAATTCTGCCACGGAATTACATACACTCCCCTACTATGAGGTCAGATCGGTATGCCTTGAGTGCGCGGAACCTTGGTGGCAACCACAGTCTGGCATGTGTGATACAATGATTACCAGTTGAAGGAAAGATCTAACTCTTTAATAATTATATCTATTATGAGTGGTCGGATGTGTATAGTAAATCATAATGAAAATTTTGAGTATTTTTTATTTACAAAAAATATAGAGCCATATGATTATATAACTACTGATGTCAGGCTTGTTAGCTGCAGCTTCTCATGGCACCCCGTACGTGCCAGAAGGGACAGAAAAGCCAGCCGTGTCGCTGACGAAGGTGCCTCCACCAAGTCCAACGCCACCACCAAGGCCAACGCCACCACCACCACCACCAAGACTAATGCCACCACCAATGACCTGACCGCTACCATGAGAAGCGGAACTGAGGGCAGACTGAAGGTCCTCTCCCGTAGGCAGAGTTGGGTTGTCGCCCTCACCATAGTTGACGAAGAACACCTGAGGAGTTTGTGGCTCAGGTGCCGGAACGTGGACCACTTGTTGACCTTGCTGAACATTCTTGTTGAGGACGTAGATGACGTTCTTCTGCTGCGGCGGAGGCACAACGATGGGTTCCACGCCAAAACCTCCTTCAGGAGCCCGGATGAATATCACGTTGTGCTCGACTCTCGGTGGGGGAATGTTTGGTCGTGGACCAATTCCTCTGGGAATCTCAGGGGATGTGAACACATAGAGATTTCTGGTAACTTGTGGAGTGATGCAGCTGCCGTCCACATGGCGAACCTGCCCGTCGCCACAGCTGCCTCCATGGAACCCAGAGTCTCCAGAGACGAAGCCGCCGCCGCCGCCAGAGACGAAGCCGCCGCCGCCGCCGCCAGATACGAAGCCGCCGCCGCCGCCAGACACGAATCCTCCGCCTCCAGAGGAGTATCCTCCACCTCCAGAGGAGAATCCTCCACCTCCAGAGGAGAATCCTCCACCTCCAGAGACGAATCCTCCACCTCCAGAGGAGAATCCTCCACCTCCAGAGGAGAATCCTCCACCTCCAGAGGAGAATCCTCCTCCTGAGCCACCGAGGGATAACCCTGGACCAGAGGGCGCGGGCAGGCCGTAGCCCTGAGGAGCGGCTACAGCAGCCGCCAGCACGGAGGTCAAGATCTGTGAAGAACAAAGGAAGGTTAACCACAAGCTCTCAGCTAACATGAGAATCTAGTAAATTTCAACAATTAGCAGTGTTTCCATGTCATAAATTTCTCAATGTTTGCCAGTGTTACCACAAACGAGTTCCCTCAAGCAATTAGTATACGCCAAAACGCTATGTAAAACATGTATTCTTTGTAAATTGATCAATAATGACGTCACAAAACTGCACAAAAATAAGAAAATTCAGGTGTCATTTCTGTCACTTGTAATAAGGCGTCAAACAACATCCGGTAGTAAATACTGATGACGCGGTCTTTCTTCTTTTCTTGAACATTTTGTTCTTGGCCTAACATGCCCCAGTCTGTTCTTCCGCGGGGCATGACTACAGCAACCTCGGGGATCTAGCGATGTTAACACACGAGTCTGAATACAACAACAGTGAAGTATGGCCGTAGCAACACGGGGTGTGGCTGTAGCAACACGGGGTGTGGCTATAGCAACACCTGGGTACGGCTATAACAACACTGGACACGGTTGTATCAATTCCTGGGTATGGTTATAACAACACCTGGTTATTGCTACAGCATCACCGGGGCACGGCTACAGCATCACCGGGGCACGATTATATAGTATAATCAGGGCACGGCTATATCAATCCCTGGGTGCGGTTATAGCAACGTCTGGGTACGGCTATAACAACTTTAGTGCGCGGCTATGCGAACGCCGGGACATGGTTTATGCAACTCTGGGGCACTAATAAACGAACGCCGGGAATGTTGTGAGAGAGAAAGAGCGAGGCAGGACTCACCAGGAGCTGCATGGTGGAGTATGGTGTCTGTCCACAGTCGCTAGCCTTATATACCTTCACTGCCCAAGCTTGGTAAAGTTACTTTCTTTCCAGCCTTCGTTGTGACCCCACCTCGCCCCGCCCCCTACCCACACTGCCAGCGCATCCCTCCACGGCAGGTCAAGGGGCAACAACTCCCACCTCAGAGGTCTCCAGTTTCTCTCCCGCCCAAACACATTCTTACGCTTCTCCGAAGTCCTTTTACTGCTTGAACGATGAAGTCTCAATTTTGTTTACTACCAAACTACCTAATTAACGTCAAGGCATTCAAAATTAAAACCGGAGGAATCATAGTGGCGTTATTATAACTGCTCATAGAGAAGGGCGGGAATGTGAGATTTATTTACTGTGATTTATGGAGCTATTGCACACTGCTGATGGATATCCGGAACTGTGAACGGCTCCTCCGACTACTTCCTGTTCCCTCGCTGCCTCCCTCCATCACCTGCCCATCTTAATTCCCGCCAAAATCTGTTTACTCACTCAGTAACATAATTATATGTTCTGCGACAATATTTATCAGAATCTGTTAATGTGTTTGATTCATGTCACAGTCACTATGTTATTGATTCTCATGTCTCTCAAACAAATATTCTTATACCTGGATTGTACCTGGATGGGGTTCTGGGAGTTCATCTACTCCCCAAGCCCTGCTCGGAACCAGGTTTGACTTGTGAGAGCCTGGTCAAACAGGCTGTTGCTTGGAGCGGCCCGCAGGCCCACATATCCACCACAGCCCGGTTGGTCTGGCACTTCTTGAAGAAAACTATCTAGTTTTCTCTTGAAGATTTCTACGTTAGTTCCAGCAACATATTTTATACTCGCTGTGAGGATGTTGAGCAACCGTGAACCTCTGATGTTTATACAGTGTTCTCTGATTGTGCCTATGGCACCCCTGCTCTTCACTGGTTCTATTCTGCATTTCCTTCCACATCGTTCACTTCAGTATGTTTTTTTACTGTGTAGATTTGGGACCTGATTTGTACCATTGAATTGTCGGATCAGAAGACATTAACAACTGTTTACAAGGACGGAGCCACACCCTTGAGAGGTAGCAGCTTAGGGGATGGCTGTAGAGGTTATTTAAGGCTTGAGAACTAATAGAAAAGGGCACACGGACTTGAACACAGATCTTCATGCTATCTTCAAGATTAAAATCTTCATGCTGTCTTCAGATGTTCAAGACGCACCCACCCCCCACAGCTCATTTAGATTTAGCTAGTGTCGAGGATCTTCTACGCTTCTTTAGCTCCGAGCCAAGCACACATAGTACACACAAGTTATTTCCAGTCCCTAAGATCTAAGAAAAGTGACCAAAGATCTTAATTTGAGTCTTGAAGAAAGGGCGAGTCTTGTTGAAGAAGTTAGTGCTTCCTGTCTCACAATTTACGCGAACACTTGAACACTTAAAAGTCACGGATGAAATTGATCCTAGTGGGTATCGCATCATATGGAAAGCACATAAGCAGGGGAGAAGGACTGGTATTAAAATGATGCTCAAATATTTGGGAAATCTCAGTAATAGATAAAAAAATCTCAAGGCTTCATCTCAGATAATGGAACAGCGGAGTGTAGAGCACACACGGTCCTTCACCTAAGCCAAGGGAAGAATATGTCGACGTGAGAATGGGAACAGATATAGTAGAAGCAGCAGCACAACTTCTCAACTCAATGAACAGTTTTGCGTTTTCGAAAAGCACCACATTTCCCGTGTTATAAAAGTTAAGTTAGGTTTGAAGCTTTGCCTCCAAGAAAGGAGAGTAGTTCATTGGGTATCCCCATAAACGGTGTCTCTATATCTAAAACTATTTTTCTTCTTTAGTTTATGAACTATTTTCAGAATATTCACAAAAACGCAATTGGAATACAAATCTTCATGCTTAACAAATATTTCTTATCACATGGATATGCATTTCTTAATTTGGTAATGTTTTACGTTCAATAGCAAAAGTACTTGATTGCAAAGATAAATATGTATAGATAATTAGACCAGGATCAAGGGATCTGGAATATATCTAGAAATTCAGATTATCAAAAAAAAATCAGAGGGATGACTAAATTCACAATTTTTAAAAATCAGAAGCACGTGGTTTTGGCGGGCTAAGTAGGATTAGAACATGGGATACTTCAAGGGAAGAACAGGGTTAGCACAGACAAAGTGAAGCCTTAATGGGACAATGTTGCCAGTGGAGCGCCCAAGCCTCTTTGTTGGTAACTGTATATTTACACGATTTTGACCCAGGATTGAGCAGCAACATCAGTAGATTTGCAGAGGATACAAAAATATGACATGAAATAAATTCAGAAGACACAAAGTCGCTGCAAGACGATTTAGATAGACTTTCGTAATGGACGAAAGTTCGACATTCAATTTAATGCTAACAAATTAAAAGTTCTGAGCCTAGAACATTCAACCCATCCTTTTGTTCAGATAGTTTTTGTAATTATGTGCATCATAGTACAAACATTGACGTTCTTAGCAATTAGATAATAGTATTTGGTACTATTCACTTTACAAGTGCGATAAAATTAAGCAAAATAAAAGTAAATATTCCTAGGCCTAGTATAGTACACATATGTACTGTATTAGGCCTCAGACAGCATGTATTACAGCATGTAGGGAAGTTAGTTTAGGTTGTTTTTGCAATATAAATACAAAACCTTTTCCATATTCAATAGTAAAGATTGTTTGTCCAAATTCAATAGTAAAGATTTCTACTAATTGTGTTATACGTCGATATATATACTATGGTTCTCATCGTTACTGTAAGTACTACTAAAACAGGAGGATGGGCTGAGGTAATGATACCAACTGAACAACGTTGAAATTGTAAAGTCTAAATGCGTAACAAATCTGGGAGTAATGATTAATATGAAATGTATACGAAAATATCTATGTATAAATGTTTGAAAAGGGCAAATAGGATACTTAGTAATATCTAGAAGAGTTAGCAATAAAATACTGTCATTCTTCAGCTTTTTAGTGATCTTGTTGGGCCCCATTTATATAATGCCGTTCAGTTTTAGTCACCAAACTATCGAATGGTTATCTATACATTGCTTAATTCTATATAAGGATTGGTCAGTCCTGGAGCTCATTAACTGAACTCAATGACTAACCAATTGCCGGCAACACTAGTGGTGCAATTTGGGCACAGTTTTTCATCAAATCTGGCGTATGCAGGGATCGTGCTAAACACCAGAGCGGTAGCCAGTAGCTCTAACCGCTACTGAACATCCACCATAAAGAAGGATCTCAGACACGTAACTGGAATCAAATGGAGACTTTAGGCCTCACCTGTGGTGCCACTTGAGTCTGGAGGTGTTAGGTGATCCACGCCTCAGTCATATAAATTGCTAACCACAATAAACGTGGACTTTCACGTCAAAAGGCCACGTGAATATTTCATTCACGTGGCCTTTTGATAGCCCAAGTGAGCAAGGAGCAGTGAGCACCTGTTAAGCGCCTCGCACATGGTTGTCGTAATACCAAAAAGCGCCACAGCCGCTCTGGTATTTCTCGCCGGGAAGTAAATAATAAAAGTTTTGCAAGTTTGGAGGAGAAAGGAAATTCCTGTAAAAATGTTTAATTACTCGCGACCACTCACCCGGATGGTCGGTCCTGCAGGGGGGGGGGAGGATATAAGCAAGTGTAGCTAATATTTTCCTATATTATATGGTGAAAAATATTTGTATTTTTAATGATCAATGCACATTATTAATATTAATAATAAAAACTATTAACCGGTTTCGTGAACAATTAAATTTACCCTTTCTCCAGTGTATTGTTTATATAAATATATTTGTAAATAGATTCAACATTTTATTACTGGAATCAGTTTCCATGACGTTATAATTTGTTTTGTTTAAAGCTAAAACTTAGTAAGTGAAGAGGTAGTTACTTAAGGTGCAGTTTAACCAGACTGTACTGTACACAAGGCTTGCTGAAGTGAAGAGGTAGTTACTTAAGGTGCAGTTTAACCAGACTGTACTGTACACAAGGCTTGCTGAAGTGAAGAGGTAGTTACTTAAGGTGCAGTTTAACCAGACTGTACTGTACACAAGGCTTGCTGAAGTGAAGAGGTAGTTACTTAAGGTGCAGTTTAACCAGACTGTACTGTACACAAGGCTTGCTGAAGTGAAGAGGTAGTTACTTAAGGTGCAGTTTAACCAGACTGTACTGTACACAAGGCTTGCTGAAGTGAAGAGGTAGTTACTTAAGGTGCAGTTTAACCAGACTGTACTGTACACAAGGCTT